AATTCAGATGCCGTTGGCTAGTTTTGAGAAAAATATTGAGAATTTTTTCTTCGTAACTCCTTGTTCTTATCACAGAACAGGTTGACCTGCAAAAACGCACCAAGCAAAAAAGATGTCATGGGCCATATTGAAAACCATTTAGTAACACTGCATCAAGGCTAGACTCCTGGGAGTTTGTCGAGAGGCTGATGAAAATCAGGGGCTTAGTGTGCAAAGGATGGCATAAATGAATGCAATATTGGATTTACAGTGTTCTCTCAGGTGCTCATTTCTTCATCATGTCATTTCATGTCATTATTGAGGCTAATTGACCATATTAAGAGAATATTTTGGTTAAGGTTTTTGAGCAGCTGAATAAATCCCAGAACTGAACAGCTGAAAGTCGAAGCTGAAAAAGTCAAGCTGGAAATAATTTTGTAAAAAGTTTTGTAACTGTGTAGATAGTTAACCAGTGAAACAACATCTTGGGTGTGATGGTGGATTCTTTTCTCCTTGCTTAAGACCTTCTAAAAGTTGCTATAGTGTACTGGCTAGAGCATTAGCTTGGTGCTGAGAGTTGAGTTACAGACTACAGACTTTGTATTAATACTCAGTTGTTTCTTAATTAGGTCATTTCCTTCCTTTGACATATAGTGACAATCTGGCTCTACCAAGGGCAGTGTTAAGTTTTCTGTAGAAAGTAGTAAGTAGCAGCATGAAGACTTTGAAAGCCCTTTAGGAATGAGGCACATTCTTTTTATTAATTTCGATTGACAGTTGTGTAGCCAAATGCTGTAGTAACCTTTGAAAATTTTATCCAAAGTATTTGCTTTTGTGATTGCTGAAGTCCCAGCTGTGCACAGTGAAGATATGAGTCATTCCCTAGTGACGCTTGACAGTTCCACAGTCTGATGGCCTTGGGCCATCGGTTTGCACTAATGATGGTCTGTGAAGGTCAGTAGCCCCTCCCCCTGCTTAAAGGAGGGTTTGTTCCTTCTAAAACATGAGATGATATTTGGAGATACTCGGCTGACATAAAGAAGTTCCTCCTGCTTGTCTCTGTTGTGTCCAGTCGTGCTAGGGTGAGGGAAGTGACTGCTTATTCTAATCCAGAGCTGCCTATTCCCGGGAATGTTATCAATTTGAATATACGAACAGATATTCTGTAAGTGGTGACATAACATAGCTGTTATACACCCATACATAATGAAACACATGGACTTTAGTGTACGCTTTCATCTATTGAACTACGTAACTATCTATATTACAGTTTAAAATTCTCAGTAGCAGGTTCTGTCCTCCCATTTTTGTAAAGGTTGAAAAGCTTCTTCTTTGAGAAGAAAGGGGACTTGAGAAAACGAAATGAAACAGAGTGGTCTTAAGAAGATCATTCAGAAACTCTCTTTTCTATGTCCTATCAGAACAGGAGAGCACTCAATGAATTTGAGTGTCACAAATTTCAGAACTGGTAAAAGGGCATGGCTCTTGCATACAGCCTGGCCAGTATGCCTGTGAAACTTACTGCTGCAGAAGGCTATTAAGGCCAAGAATATAGCAAACTTAAAAAAGAAATCAGATACTAGCAGGGTTATTCCTGATATCCAGAATTATAATAATTAATGCTATCAAAGTTTGAAAGAGATATTGTGTTTCGAGCTTTGGGGCACAGGGTAATCTCTGTCTAACAGATATCAAGATGAGACTTGTGGAAAGATGATGTCATGTCTACCGTGCGTGGGCTCTTGTGCTACAGTCTAAACTTACTTTTCTGGCAGTATACAGACGTATTTGAACCTGTTGTCTGATTGCTTGTATCAATTACTGTATACAAAGTCCTTTAAAATGTACATCTGTATCAACAGAAGTGATAGTCATCTAAAACACTGTATTTAACCAAATTAAGTCAGGAGTAAATGCAGCATGGTTGGATATCTTTGTTTGTGTAGGTGTGAAAATGCTACTGACTCGTATAAATGGTCTCACATTACACTGAGCGTACATACTGAGCATATGTGTCTGTTAGGGTGCGTTGTGGTTTTTTAAATACAGTTATTTTTCAGTACAGGTTTTGCTGCTTAGTCTCATTGCTTTATTGGTAAGCCCAGTGTATCATGTTTTCTAGATGTGAGGTCTTATGCTACTGTCTGCTTTTTCCAAACAGAGCTACTTTTCAACTAGTGTGCATCCTGCTGTGGAGCAGTCTGGTTGCCACTGGAAATAAAAGCCAAAATGACCTTGCAGTTAAAATTCATGATATTTCGTGAAAATTCAAGATATCCAACCAGAAAAAATAAATCCCAAGGCAACTCTTGTATGTGTTTCCCACCCACCACTTATGACTGGGAAAGGGAGTAAAAGAAAACACACACAATAATGTGATTGTGATTATTCTATTCTATTCTATTCTATTCTATTCTATTCTATTCTATTCTATGCTATGCTATGCTATGCTATGCTATGCTATGCTATGCTATGCTATGCTATGCTATGCTATGCTATGCTATGCTATGCTATGCTATGCTATGCTATGCTATGCTATGCTATGCTATGCTATGCTATGCTATGCTATGCTATGCTATGCTATGCTATGCTATGCTATGCTATGCTATGCTATGCTATGCTATGCTATGCTATGCTATACTATTTATACTTTTTTGCTGCAATGTTTTCTGCTGGGTCTTGCAAGTGGTTTGTAGTGTAGCTTTAGGAATCTATAGAATAATAAGCACTATTATTTTATACCTTCTGGCAGGATACAAGTATGATGTTATCTGTTTCCCTGAGATACAACACCAACATGACATGTGCAGACTTTTGCAGATAAGCAGAACTAGGATCTAATTCTGGGTGGGAATCAGAACCAGTACCAGAGGAATTAAACTTCAGTTGCCTGTCCTGTAAATAAACACACTGCAGGAAGAAGTTGTCTCAGAACTTAACATCTACTAAAGGACGGCTCTAAGGGACCAAAGTTGGTTTTATTTTTGCTTACATGAGAGGTTTCATGTGAAATGTTGTGTTAGTAGGAACTGTGCAGGCTTGCACAGTGAAATGCTAATCTGTCATGTAGACCTTGTCCCAGGTGCTAGGGCCAGGAAGAAGTGGGGAGATTTAATCTCTTTGCACGTTTAGGTCTGGCAATAGTAGTTGGAATGGTTTTCAGAGGTGGCGTGGAAGTGTAACTTTGTAAAGCAAATGATCTCATTACTTCTCTCCTTGTTCCTTAACCAGCAAAATTAATATCCAAATGTTCCCTAAGATTAGTTTTATTTCCTGCCCAGCTAGTTGACAGACACTGCTGAGATTTGAATTCACAGCAGGCGAGAGCAGATGGCTACCTTCGCTAACAGATTAGTGCATCAAAGCGTACAAACTGTCCAGCTCTGTCTCAATAAACTTCAACATATGATTTATAAAGTGAACATAATAGAAGAAATCCATGATGCCTGTAACAGGAATCATATTACAGCACTACTTAAAGCTCTGGGAGAATTGCCTAAGCAGTTATTGTATACTTGTACTGATCTTCAAATCTTATTAGGCAAGAAAGCATTGCCTGGAAGATGATTTGTCTTCTCTTTGGTATTACTTCCTCTCATTTAATTTCTATTGAACTAATTAAACTTAAAGGGCAATTTCCAATACATGTAGCTGCTGTTGAAGTTCTAGCAAATATATTGTGTTCATACTGATTTGATGGTTAATTGTTTGTATGGGGCTTTTTACATAAGCAAAAAAGTCTCTGCTAAACTTCCGTACCTGCAAGTCCATGATGAAACTACTGTACTCTTAACTAAAAGCAAACAAAAAAAAAAAGAGAACTGTTGTTTCAGAAAAAGAAAAGTCATTGCAAGATCGTGCATACATATCCAGCACAGCAGATAAGCTTGATTATTTGAGATGATAAATTGCAAGTAAAACTTGCCTGGAACAGTCGATGAGAAATGCCTCACAAAGGAGGCCAAGGCTTTTTACAAAGCGTAACAGCTCCAAATGATGGCACAGTATCTTTTGAGAAAGGTATGATATTTCTAGCATGTTGCATAATTATTGGCTATGTAAATAAACATGAAATGTGAGGTCCTCTGTGCCTGAAGTCTATTGATATTGCTAGCATTATTTTTGAAGAGGGTTAGTCTATAACTCCTCCTGGTTTTGTAAGCATTCAGCATATATTTACTCTTCGGGAAGTTTCCATTGCTTTGGGTGCTGAAGAGTGAGGTACAGAGTGATTTATAGCTCTGTGAGATGGAGGGTGGGTCCTGATTCTTGCAAAATCTGGACTTGTTTCCTGGTGAGTGTTACCATCTCACTGCTTTTCTGCTTTCCTGAGGACAATAGCTAAGTCTGCTGAGATGCCTTGGATAGCAGCTCTGTGCAATTGCTAATTCTCTCTTCTGTCCTTTGTCTCCTCTGGTTTGATCTGTTCAGTGCTCTGTTTCCCTCACTTTGTACTTAAGATCTAGGTTTTGCCCTGCTATCTGTGAGCTGTGTCTCTGTATGAGAGGGTGGGCTGCAGTCTCTTGTGTGATATTGGGAGCAAATGGGATTTTCCTGTTAGTGTTGTGGAGAACAGTGGGAATATCACAGTGTCAGTTTGTGGAAAATAGAGGTTGCTTTGCAGCTGTTACAAGGAGACAGATTAAATTTCCTGTTTTAAAGAATAAGGGAAGGGGTTTTTTTTCATTTTGAAATTAAAAACTGAAGTTAGCATAACTTCTGTTTGCCCTCCTGAAACATTTCCCTACGTAATTAGTTTAATGTATTTCCACATGCAGTAATGTTTTCTTAGGATGTGAAGCGGAGGAGGCACAGAAAAACCTTACGTAGCAGCTTAAAGATTGTATTTATATGTTTCCAAAGATGATGTTCATACTCCCTGACTGAACAGTAACCAACCACAGTGAATATCTGATTTAGTGGTGTTTGCTTGCATTTATACAGCTTGCTTAGAATTGAGTGGTGTCTATTTCTGTCAAATACAAATGCAGGTGGGTTTTTTGTTGTTGTTTCTATTGTAGACTTGCCCTCAGCAAACTTAAGCAATTACAACATCACCGTGGTGGAAGGAAAGAGCATCACTTTGTACTGTGATACTACTGGCGGGCCACCCCCTAATGTGTCCTGGGTGCTCACTAATCTTGTTTCAAACCATGAGGTAAGTTTCGTATTCGAATACATGACGATTCAGAAACAGGAGATACCTGCTGAAGGATGGAATGAAGGTTCATGTAAACTTTAGTTAACTTTTTATTAAAAAGATGAAATAAAAAATTAATGTTGGGATTACATTTATTTCTGAGTTACTTTCAATCCAGGGTGACTGCTGCAGTGTTCTTGGACAATGGCAAACATTTGCTCCTCGAGACCCTGATTTGCACTCTGGTTTTTGGATGTTCACTTGTAAATGAGAGTACTGCAAATTTCTGGAAGTAATGTGGTGAATCGGGATACTGAAATGCAAGGGCTTTCTTATTATCACTGATACCTGCATACAGAGAATAAATCTAATCTACCCTAGGAATGAAAAAAGCTTTGTGTCTCTAGTTTTATTATATTTTCATGCCAAAAGCTTGGTGTGTTGGAATTTGTTTGTAAATACTTTGTGGCTTTTTAAATTTTCCTTCAACAAACAAAGCAACAACAGGAAGACTTGGAAATTGAAGTGCAGGTTTTACTAAAAAGAATGGCAGTTTTTTTAAATGAAGTATGAAGATGTTACCTCAATAAAATCATCTAGGCAGCGGGAATTTTGTTTTCTGAATTTCTTATTCTGTGTCCCTACTTTAGACTGTGTGCACACTGGAGGTAAAATGATTAAGTTCTTTCTGATGGAAGTGTTGTTAAGGAAAGGAATATAAGCAGATCTTCAACATGCAACTGCTGACATCTTGAACTGCAGTTATTTACACAGTGGGCAAGACCCTTTGTTATTTACAATTTTATGGCATTGGCTTTCCTACATTCATGATGGTGCAGACTGCCTAAAGCTTCCTGGTCTGTACAAAGTATGGGATGTGTACTTCCAAAACTGTTCCCTAAAACTGTTCCTGCAGTGCAGAAGAGACAGGACCTCTGGGGTCTCATAATCTTTGTACATTCTGCCTTGAGGTCATTATATTTGGCCTGTATAGAATTTGACTAGCCTGTCTTTCAGCTCTCATAAGTAAGAGCTCTGCAGAGCTCTAGTTTTATTTTTAAAATTTTCTCTAATCTGTAAAACTACCCAAAGGCATCAGTCGTCATCAAGAACAAGAAATTAAAACAGTTTGGGGAACCTATGCCAAGTTGTGCTCTTTCTTTTTTTTTGTTTTTTTGAGTTGTGAGCCAAAACAAATGTGGGATGCTGTTCAAAAAGTGAGATCACTGCATTTTTTAACCCTCCTATCTTTGAAATGCCATGGTCAGTTTGCCTCAAGCTTTCCAGAAATATTCTGTCCTGGCATAACTTTGTCTTGAGATTTCAGAGGGGCTCATAATATAGGCTAGCTAAAACCTTAGCCATGGAGCACAGTAGTCTTTTCAGTAGCAGAAGAATGAGTGCCTTTTAAACCTCATTTGCCATTCACAACTATCCTTTCCTTTTCTATGAGTGTTGTTTTTGGTTTCCTTTCTCTCACATCTCAGTTTCTGCCTCCCTTTTCTTCACCTCCTGTGCTGCTTTTGCCTGTTTTCTCTCTCTTTCCTGTTTTACAAAGAGAGACATTACCAAAAGTTAAAACTAAACTCTAGTCCTGCAAAGTTAACTATGTTCTCAGTTTCTGTGCTGATGTATAATCTCGTTGATGTTGGTTAGATTTTTCTTGCTCTAGATTTCAGCCCTGAGCCTGTGATTGAGCCTCTCTGCTTTCAGTCCAGCTTTGAGCACTGCTTACCTCTTAGAGTTGTGCATAGAGACATGTGCAATGGGGTGTTTGCTTTTCCACTCACCTCCCCTAGTGTCACACTGAAATCAAAGGGACATTTAACTTAAGTGGAGTTAAGGTGTCATCTCGAGGTTCAAAATTCTGGTCCCACAGGACTGTATGCAGGAGTGTTCCCGCATGTCCCCATTGCCTGCCACTGAAAGTATCTGTGGTTTTACAGATGCGGTGTGTTATTTGTTTGTGTTCTGTGCACCACTGAAGTGTATGTGTACCCTGAGAAAAGTACTTTAAAAGTATTTTTTAAAAATTATCCTAATTGTTGTTTATTTTCTGAATGTGTTTTGGTTCCTTTTTAACAAAATAGTCTCATGTTGTATGAAAAGTTCAAGTATGGAAATAGTAATTATTTGGAGATCATATGAAGGACCTGATTTAAGAAAACAAGAATCTTTAACAACTAGCTTTTTAGCGCTTTTTTTTAAATTCAGCCCTATTTGCTTTATTCAGTGTTGCATAGCTACATATTCAGTATGGCATTGAAGGCTGTAAATGGGTACTGAGCTTTCTAAGAATCGTAAGAATCAAGATTTCTAAGAATCATAATTCTTACCTTAATTAGCCTGTGCTTAAACACATAAACCAGTATTGGGGCAGTAACTTAGGTAGTAGAAGTTCTGTAATTTCTTGTGGAAGGTTTCATGATAAGAAGCTTTCAAGAGAAATTTGGCTAAGGAGGAGGAAGAAGACACATTGCTGTGTAGGTGCAGTAGAGCTCAGAAGGCAGCAGGGGAAGAGATGTCAAGCACAAGTGTAAAGGAAAGAGACAACAAGGAGTAAAGCAAGGATTGACCAGAATATAGGTGGAAGAAAAAGTTCAAGGGGAGCAGGGATAAACCATAGAAATCAGTCATGAAGTGTAAGAGAGGGATGAGCAAGGATATGGGTAGAGAAAAAAACATTTGTGTAGAGAAGAAGAAGTGTTTCAAAAAAAGGCAGAAACTGAAAGTGACAGGACAAAAAAATGGTTGAGTGCCGTGTTTGTAGCAGGACTTTTGGAGCTTTGAATCCACTGCCACTGACAGTTAGAATTGGTTCTGTTGGTGTTTTGTGTCTGTTTGGATAACACACTAAAGTAAGGCTTTTATTAACTGTGGACTGATACAGCTAAAAGGAAGGGAAAATGAAAAATGCCATTCTGCTGCGGCCAGCAGTTCCCCCCTTCCTTGTTCTTTATGCTGCTGTTGACACATACATGTTTTTTCTGATCGCTTGTAGAGTGACACAAGTAAGAACCCTGCCTCACTAACCATAAAGAACGTTTCATCCATGGACAGCGGACTGTGGATTTCCTGCGTAGCAGAGAACATTGTGGGAGAGGATCAAGCCTCTGCCGAGCTCACAGTATTCTGTACGTATGCAGGCCTCCACACAGCTCCCAAGGCCAAACTGCATTGGCAGCAACTGTTTTGGGTATAAATATTTTTTGGGCACGCAGGTTGGTGAAACGAAAACCCTTAAGGCATGTGAACTATCTACTGCAGTTAAAGCTGGGAGTAGCCCAACCAGCAGTCTTATTTATCTTTTTCAGCCCTGCCTTCTGCAAAAAATGTATTTCTAAGTACTTTATCTTCCAGTTAGAATGATCTGTGAGTAAAGGTCTGAAACCCAAAATACTCAATGGCACTGTCAGTGTGGGAAGGTTTGTAATGGTGTGCATGTACATAGACACTGTCTTAGGAATTAAGAAGTGTGAACACATCAAAAGGCTCATAGAACTAAGAGACTACAAATGTTTAAGTTCTTATTATCTAAAGCAACAACTGCTTTGTTCAAAAAATAACACACTTGCAACATTCGTACTGCCAGATGTAAATTTATTTGTCATAGCTTTGAATAATATATTTATTTTTCCAGGCCAAGGAAGGGGGAAGGGACATGTAGTGTAGAGGCTCTGGCTTTTTAGATCTAAGATGCAGCCTGAATTCATTTTATGTGAATTAGACAGCATGTTTTCACAAGTTGCAACCCTCTGTTTAATTGAAGATGGGAATGGAACGCTTTGTAGATGGCAAACTTTGTTCAGCATGTGCTCGTGACAGAGTGAGCTAGAAAAATCACTGTACATGTAGGTTTGTAGGTTGAAATTGGATGTATAATAGCTATGGGAAGGGACATAAACTAGAAATGTTTGAACAGTGTAAATGAGATTCTGAGCTTGGCACTGCTATGAGTGATAAAAGGGAGTATAACTAGATGAAATTGGATGCAGTTAAGAATAAGTATCAAGGAAAATTTCCCAATAGTGAAATAATGGGCAAGGTGTTGGAATAATCTCCTGAGGGAGACAGAACAAGTCTGCAAACTTGAGGCATTTAGCAGGTTTGAACAAAGAATGAGAAAATGTGTAGTAGAAAATCATCTTTCCCTGACAGAAGAATCCAGGGAATTAAGTAATCTGTTCTGGCTTTGATTCTGTGAAGAAAATAATCTGAAAGTTTGGATTCCTAGCTGAATATATTTCCAGTACTACTTGCTTTTGGCCAACTTTTAAATATTTTCAATACTGTTGTGTTCCTGCAGCACTCCTCTGCACCATTTTTTCAGTGGAGCAAAGCTAAAATGTCTCTCTGCCCCTTCTCAGTGATCCAGTAATTGAACTTCCCACACCTTACAGGGTTTAAGTGATTTAACAGGTGTTCAGTCTTTGTCTGAAACTAGTTTGTTTTGTTTCTTTCTAAAGAACGGCTTCATTTCAGTTGTGACCATAGTACCCTAGGCAGAGCAGGTGGGTTCCTGTGTGAGTATCCTCCAAATAGGTATCATTCCTACTAATAACATACTTTAGTACTGATGAATGAAAAATACTTTGCTGATAACTCTGGGGGGAGGGAGGGAAGGGAGGAAAAACATGTTCAGAATGTTCTGATCTTCTTCACTCTTTTTTCCAATATAGTTGCACCAAATATCACGTTTATTGAATCTCCAACCCCGGACCACCACTGGTGTATTCCATTCACTGTGAAAGGGAACCCTAAGCCCACATTGCAGTGGTTCTATGAAGGGGCTATACTGAATGAGTCTGAATACATCTGTACTAAAATACATGTAATCAATCAAAGTGAATACCATGGCTGCCTTCAGCTGGACAATCCTACCCACCTGAATAATGGTGCTTATACCTTACTGGCAAAGAATGAGTATGGAGAGGATGAAAAACGGGTTGATGCTCATTTCATGTCAGTGCCTGGAGACGGTGAGTATAATTTTTTTTTATGTTAGCAATTGCAAATTGATGAGACTGTGGAGACAGTGCTCCTGGCCAGTTTAACTCTATTGGAGGAAGCTTTTTATGTGCTTTTTTTTTTCTCTGAATGAATGTCTGCAAGATTAGTTGTAAAATAATGTTTTTCTTGAGCATTTTCTTCTTGTTTATTGCTTCTCAAGGGAGGCCACACTAGTGCTCTGTAAATCTTCCCTTTGAGTAACCATGCTCAATGACAGCTAGGGCTAGTAAAAGGTTGTTGTTTCTGAATTGTTTTCTCAAGCCTCAGTTCTGATCCTGGAAAGCACTCAGTGCCAGTTCAGCCACCCTGTAAGTTTTCTGCACTGCATGTGAGCGCAACTAGGCAGTGTATCCAAGGACACAGGGGATGCCTATGCAGCATCTAGTGCCTTGTTGCAAAACCAGTAGTGTAGTTCAGTGAGTTGATGATAGTATGTTCTTCAGGACACCAGAGGGAGCTGGAGAGAAAACAAGTAACCCAGAGGCAGGATGGACAAGGTCTCAGGACCTCACAGGCATTTCGATGTCCAATTCCCATTTGTTTCAGTGGAGGCTGGGCACCTACTTGCCTAGCAATATCTGCACTCAGGATGGTTGCTGTTAAATATATGCATCTTTAGTTGCTCTCAAGGCTCTGCCTCAGCCCTCCTAAATGTTATGTGAGCAGGCTCAAGGTGGACTACCACTTTGAGCTGAAGGGACTACTATAAGTGATTGATGTTCACCGTGGTTTGATCTTTTCCCACATCTTCAAAACCATATGTGAAGTGACTGTAAGAGTAAGAAGGCATACATGTAAGCATATTGCTGTATGTGGAAAAAACTCTGAGTGGACCTTGCACAGCTGGAGTGGAAATAAAGGCCTGTTTTTGCGCAAATAATTGCACAGTCATATCTGAAAATATGAGCATGTGTGTACCTTTGGCTTTTTAGCCATGGGATATAAATAGCCTTCTTTTTTGAAACAGCAATGTGCAGTGCTAATATTATCTGGCAGGAAAAAAAAAAAGCGAATCTTTAATTCTCTCTCCTACATTGCAGGCTACAGACAGTAAAAATATGTTCTGTATTTAATGTTTTTCCCTATCAGCACAGTCTGCTGTATGGAGAGAATTGGCAGGTCTTTTGCTTTCCCACCCTTAGAAGGAGAAGGTGAAGAGCTGATGCAATCAGGCTTTATTTACTCCTGCTGTCCTTAGTACTCCTCTCCTCTTTTCTCTCTGGAGTTCTTCCTTAAATAGACTCATTACAGAAACATGCCATGGTTTCAGCTAGTGGCATCCTCTAATACTGCATTATAATGGTTTAGTAAAACAGTTCACCTCAGAGATGTTCGGTGTACAATGGAGGTTCTCTTACACCCTGATTATTTAATATGAATCAGGCTTCATTTTCTTAACAGAATAGCAGTATCATTTTTTGTCTTTGATCCAAATCACTTCTACTATTCTGTTTTTCCTTTATGCTTCTCCCCCATACACTGAAAATTTCCCAGTTGTGGCCTTTTAAATCAGTAAACAGAACTGTAGGTATTCTCCAAATTAGAAAGACAGCATTATTTATTTGTTCCATCCTCTTTATACCCATAAGGAATATAAGTCTCCTAAGATAATCTGTGCTGTGTTCTTTAAGCATTTCCCAATCTCTGTGGTGGATTAAGCTTCACAAAAAGAGTATAGAGGAAACTGGACTATGTATAGACAGGATGTAACTGCATTAGAAGTCAGTTCATGCATAGTGGATGGCGCCAAACCAGTCTTAAAAATTAACAATGGTGGAAATTGCTTACCTACTTAGCCTCCTCAATATTGTTTTTATCAGTGGGGCTTTTTCCTATGAGAATTCATGGCACTGAGCTGTGGAAAATGTCACAACATTGTTGTCTCCTTCACTGAAACTGGCATAAAAGCAAATGTTAAAAAACTAGAATCCTCTGTGCATTGTATTACAATTTTTGTTTTAGACTATTACTATTTAAAGCACTGTCAGGCTTTTTCAAACCATTAAAAAGCTTTTTCAGTGCTGTCGTTACTGTGTAGTTTCTTCTTTTGGCCCACATATTGTACAATGAAGCATAAAGATTAAGGCCTAGGCCCTGGTATTACGTTCATTTCCATGCCTTCATGACTGAATTAAATACCAGTCCTGATATTTCATGGGGTGCGGTGTACTCACTGAGCTTTAAACTGATTCTCTGGTTATTGCATCACTCACGGGCAAATGCTCTGAAGGTAAAAACAAAATAAAATAAAAAAAAACACCCCTCACCTGTAATCCGTATGTCTATCTAAACTAATTAAAACTAAGTCTGAAGCATGTTCTGTCATCAACAGTGTAATACTCTACTTTTAAAGTTGCATCAGACATAATGAAGACATGATTTGTGCTAAGATGCTCTCAACTTCCAGCATGCTACTTGCAGAACATTTTTCACGGGTCTGAGGACGCAGGCATAAAGGAGAGGAAAGCATGTACCACAGTGGAATTTGGATTGAGTTAATGATAACACAGTTAATGTAGTAAATTAAAACTTTGTTTTAGCCTGGAAGAGTACATTTCATATTCTCTTAGCTAGATTTTTAACTAGCTATAATCTACTAAAGTTCTTGGATTCCTGTGAAGCTGTTCTTGCTGAGGATGACTTGATTATTTGAAACAACATTGCAGCAAACAGTAAGCAGGAAATGTTCATGTTTTATTCTGGAGGCTGTTCTCATAGTTGATCCAAACCAGCTAATGAACGCGGGAGAGGTTTTTACCAATAATAAGTATTTTAATTAAGCTTATTCATCTGCCAGTTCTCTAAAAACAAGCTGAAGGAATCCAAGTCACAATAGTATCTTGTCAAAGTGAAAGAATATGTTAAATACACCTTAGAAGGAGCATCTTTCTTGTGCGGCATAACAACATGGGGCTGTTTTGCAGAAGTATGTTTTTGGATTGAGTCTTTTGCTGCTGCTTTATTTTGAAAATGTCAACTTTATAAAGAAAGAAGCAAGTGAACCAAGTGTAGTTGATGTAGTTCATAAAAATGAGTGACTAGGGTAAGTCTCTTAATAGCTTATTTACACAACAACGTGTTCTGCCAGGGACCAAAGCAACAATGCTGTTCTGTATTTGCCTTAGAAATAATTGTGTGTAAATGTGCAAAATTGCTGTCATGAAGTTTAATGTTAAAATAGCTTCCACTGATGTTTTGATGATTGAGTAGATATGTTTTTATGTAGGGAATACTAAATAGAAATTCGGGGTTTGTCCAGCATCTTGATTTTTGCAGCTTTATTTCCAATGAAGTATTTAGTTATATAAAAGGTATTTGAATGGAGTTGATGACTTCCTAGTTTATATCTCTGGCAGGAGTTAGGGGTTAAACTAATCTGATTCCTTTATCCCAGTTCCAGTAAACAGTAACAAAAATGTTGCCATTTAACTCAGGAATAAAGGCCTGGGAATTTTTTTTTTGGGTTCCCCACCCCCTGCACTCCCCTTCATATTACAGAAGATAAATTAGAAATACTGTCTTTCAGCAGATGGATGTTTTATACTGGAAAAACTGAATCCATGAACTTTTATGGACAGAATACCCTAGTCAGAAGGGTTGAGGACAGATAGTACAAGCTTTCTTCACTTATTTCTTTCTGCAGATCGACATGACAGTTCTCATGGGGTCTATTAACCTGTATCTCTGGGTACTAGAATATCTTCAACTGCATTTAAAAATAAACCTAATTATCTGCTGCCATTCGACAAATAGGTTGCAACTCTGTTTAGTATTTTCAGCACAGATTTTCACATTGTTGACATAAGCAAAACCAATGGTGTTCTGGTCATACTTCACAGTGGCTTTATGCCAGTGTAATGCCACTGCTATGGATTTACTGTATAGTACTATAAACAGAATTACGCTTTTTGAAGTTTGATTGATCTTCAGAGATTTTAACTATCTGTTAATTTTATTTCCAAACCAACAAAAAGAAAGAGTGAAAATATGGAAGAGATGATTAGGACCCTACTGCATAAGCTATGCTATAAATATGTTATAGACTAGAATGAACGGATATGTTGAAATACAACACAAGTATCTTTCAAAGCGTGAATAGTCTAATAGTACGCTAATTTCAGTGGGCGTTCTGTGCATTATGCTCCCATATGTGCTCAGCCTTACATATGGGCAGTAATTAGAAAAAGCTGCAAACTGGAACTAGTAAAATTTAGAAAAGTGTAGACTAGACGGGTATCCATTTGCTTGTGCAAAGGCTGGCTTCTGAGACATCTGACTCTTTTGGTAAGAGTTTTGTCTGTGTATCAGCTGTGCAGCTGGCTTCTTGGAAGCATCCTTTTACAGAGCAAATGAAATGGTGCTGCTTAGGTCATTGCTACCTCTAGCCCTTAACTTGCCAGCCCACAGCTAAACTGGTTTGCTCTCACGGTGATTTAATAGCAAAATTTTTTGGCCAGGTAAAAATCAGTGATTGTTGATGCTCACTGAAGTCTGCTTCCACTTAAGGTCAGGGAGAATTTTACCATTGATTTTTCAACAGGAATAGTTATTGTTGCACTTATTCCAGCTATACACTAACAGTGGAAAGCAGAGTTTTGCCCAGTTGGGAAATTCGCCTGAGTTTGCCAGAGCTAGTGCCCTGTGCATTAGCTGTTCCATATGAAGCAAAATATTAACCTCTGGGATAGCTCTAAAATGGTTGTAAACAAAATCTGATAAAGAGATACTGCAATATATTGATGTTGCTTTGCATTTGTGTAGGTACTGATTGTTGTTGAAAATAACGTGTCAACTCTTAAAAAAATTCCTAAAGAAACTCTTATTCTTTCAGCATTTGCAATCTATTTACAAAGGCTTTTTCTTTTTTTTTTTTTTTTCTCTTCTCCATGTACAGGTAGTGGCCCAATTGTGGATCCAGACGTTTATGGTATATATTTGATTTCCTTTTTCTTTTCTTTTAATGATAGAAGTGAGAAATGAAGGAACTGAATCCATTAAAAGATTGAATGTCAGGCTCAGTTAAGTTGAAATGGCACATATTATAACACAATTCTAAAAGGTACTTTGCATTTTTGGTTCTTCTCCTGCCTTGTATTATTTAAGATAGATGAGGGCAATATGACGTTTTACTTACTCCACTGCTTTTGATTCACGTTAGGAAGCAACATAAATCCATTGCTACAAGTGGTTGCAGTTGATCCTGTAGGATGACAGCTGTCTGGTGTAGCTCACAGGCATGAGATTTGTGAACCTTTTGGAGGCATTTCTTGGAGGAAAGAGAGTTCGTGATTTCTACTTATATAACTTAATTTATTTTCTCAGGGATGATTCCATACTTGTTTTGCCTCCAAAAATGTACCCCTAAATCCCACTTAAAAATGAGGTTGGCACAAGTACGTTTTGCTGTAGGCAATTTATTTTGCTCTGTCCGCTCATTTGTACCTTCCCTTAATCTCTCTTGCATAAGCAGACCATCAGCTTCGTGATATCTGAGTGTGTGCCAGAAGATCTGATGACACAGTGTTCACATCAATTTTTTAGTTAGGCGAAATGTTTTGGTCTGTGCCTAGTGAAAGCCTGTGTGCACTAGAATAGAAGCTGCAGAATGAAAAGCAACTGGCTAGTTTTGCGTAATACTTTTGGTATACTTCTGGTGAGTAGGAAAGGCTATCCTAACCAACATACCCAAACGCCCTTTAGCTTCCAGCAGAAGCTGGATCCTGTTTGGAGTACTTTTTATTTGGATGAAATGGCCCATCACTCAAGTTTCCTTAAGCTGATTTAAATGTTATTGCTTTGATTCCATTCCATGTCATTAAACTTTAGCAAATGTGCAATTGAAGCATCAATTTGGCTTTAAGTGCTTAGAAATACTAAAGGATAGCTTCCCCTCCCTCTCTTTCCAGATTCATTTTTCTTAGGGGGGGTTGGAGGGTGGGAAGGTGGTGATGATTTGCACAATTTCTTACATGTGTTTTATTATATAAGCTGTGTGCATGAAGATTTTGATTCTGCGCTGTTTATCGAGGTCCTGATGCCTGTGTATGGCTTTAACCATGTGAGTGCTGTGCTTCCATTGACTTGGGTAGGTTTCTGCTGAGGTGTGCGCTTCAAGTTGCGCTAGCGGATCACAGCCTGCAAGACCTAGTCCTGATGAAAGCAGCCTTCCTTCTTTTTCCTGGCTTTTCTTTCTGCTCTTTGAAACTGCTGTCTTTGATCTTTGTTTCAGTGACTCAGTGCTTGCTTTGAGAAACACTTTGTAGTCCAGAGTGTTTCCCTAATTATTCCAAATTCACAAGTCCAGTTAGTGAGGTGAATAAATGAGGCTGGCTGGAGAGTCTAGGAACTGATAGACTTCTTCGGAGAACCACTGCCTGCATGGCTGACAGTGGGATGAGCTCCCCCCAGAGAATGAGTGGTTTTCGTAGTTTTTTATAGGCCACTCTATCTCTATGCTAACCTGTTTACCCAAAACTTAGGTTATGTTGGAAGGAAGATCTAAAGCACACCCCTGCCCCCGCAGCCTTCCCTTTAAAACGCATTTTTCAGAGCCCCCTGCTAATCGTGTTGCAAATGTGCCCAGTGTAGTGGGTAAAGACGGCGGCAGAGGATTTGATCCTGCTGGGCGCTGGGCCTAGCTGTGTGCCTGTCAGCCTTTTGGCTATGGGTAGAGTTAATAGGAGCTGCAAGGTACTTCCCTGCAAGCTTTGGGGTGCCGCAGGGCCAGGGGCTCCC